GTTTATATATGTGAAGAAATTGTCGAAATTTTCCCATTTCAGCACAGTAAATGTCTCATCCATATATGGTCACCATACTTTTGGTGCAGGATTATACGTTTGTAAAGTTATGTTTTCCCAACTATTAATCAACATACCTGTTGATATATTTCCTGAAATCCTACATAGTTACTTTTGAAAATGTAACCGCCTTGGTTGCATTTGCAAGTAAACATTGTAGTAAGTCAACCCACACAGATGGAAAGAAAGAAAAATGAACAAGTAGTCATTTCAGAAAGGAATCTTAACTGATTCACGTACTCCATCTCCCTCCCACTTCATCAGTAAATCATTCCTTTACTCCTTGATTGTATTGTGTTCTCTGCAGACCAAAGGATGCAATAAGCAAAGAAGACAAACTGAATATCATTTACAAAATCAAGTGCAGTAGCTAAGTGTAGTCAACACTACATTGGACAAAGTGGTCGACCTCTTCACCTTCGTCCACATGAGCACCAATTGACTATTAAACGTCACACACGACATTTAATCACTCATTTCAATGCTTGTGGATAACAACTGTGGATATGAATTCAGTGTTGACAATGTAGAAATTTTGCACGGAGAGAGGAAACACAAAGAATGTCAGAGAATTCCTAGAAGCTTGACACCATTCAGGTCAGTCAGTCAGTCAGTCAGCAATCAACAGATGTATAGACATGATATACCCAATCTATCAACCGATGAGAAGGATGATGAACAACAGGAAGGTCAGAGGTGAAGCAGAGGGACAGTCATCAGGAAAGTCTATACAATCAATCAATGACACAATAATCGAAGGAAACAACCAATCACAGACCACATGGTCAGAGCAAGCTACTAAATCACTCACTCATGGAGAGATATTGACAGCTCACTCACTTCATACTGAAGTTAGTGCTGATGATGATGATGATGATGTCGTTGTCTAGCAAGATGATGAAAGCTTCTTCACGATTAAACAGCCTAGCCAGCTCACAGAACATTATACAACCAAGACTATCCATCTGAGCTACAAATATTCTCCATTATTCTTTTACTCCATAGAGTCACCAACACAATCTATATAGCATAATAAGAATTAAATGGATAAAAATTGGTTGTATCAGTGCTAACCAATTATTTTAACTTTTATTCTCTTTCATGTTTATCAACACCTAGATTGTTTGACTTCATTTACAGTTACCAAGGTTACAATCTTGTTATTTCTTTGTATAATTAGCTATGTGTTACAGTAACCAATGTCAACAAATATGCACTGGAATAATATTATTATTATTATTATTATCGTAATTGTTATTCAATTCATTTTCCTGCAACAAAGTGTATTAAGTATTATTTAGTTAAACAATTGAATTTACTACATAAGTTATTTCATTGTATGATCTGTTTTTCATTTCATATATATGCGTGTTAACATGTGAATAGAGAAACTATATCTTATGTAAAGTAGATAACTTTAAATGTATAGATGTTAACAAATCTATTCATCAGTCGGATAAAATCATTATAAAGTCTTATGTGCTATTTTCAGTAGGTGTGAACAATAAAGTTCACTGGGGCCAATATACTTATTCTCTTGTCTATCGGATATCAATTATTCATTGAGATTAGAACCTGTTGTTTTCGGTTGTTGATTAGTCTGATTAGTACTCGCCGGCATATCAACCCATATGTGTATACCTTGATAGTCTATTGACTAACAAAAACTCTAAAGTTTAGAGTTATGAGTTGAAAGGGTTTCAGTTCCAGTGTTAAAACCACTACGATTCATTTATTTGTAGTTGAAGAATCTCAAGATGAACAAAACTTGCTACTTGAATTTTATCTTTAGTGGTAGAGTTGTCCATTTTTGTGAAATATCAAAGTTCACAGTTAAGTAAAGAAACAGAGGAGTCTATTGTACTAGAGAAGGAGTCTATCCTTGATTTAACTGCTTCTAGATTATCATTATTATTATTATTTGTCCCTTGGATTCCTAATGGAACATATGGCTTCACTAGCACATCTCCAATGCACTCCGTTCTCTGAAATCTTTTCAACCTGGCTCTACGACAGCTCACAAGCTCTCATTTCCTCCTCACACGACCTCCTCCATGTCACCCCCAACTCGCACGCCCAACTCGTCGCTTCCCATCTGGGTTCCACTCAAGCAACTGGCCTGACGCGTCATGTCCCCAGTCCAACTTCTCACTGTATGCTCAATACATCTCCACTCACTTCCACTGCATATTTGTTCAGCGATAAGTTCTTGGTTGGTTCGTTGCCCAGCCAGTCAGAGTTCCTTCTTGCTTATTCTTATTATTCTGCACATCTGATCTCATCTTCAGTATCGAGCCAGTGTAGGTAGGTAGGCAGCTGTTGATGATGCGTGTCTGTAGTTCAGCGGAAATGCCTTTCGTAACGCGCAGCCAACTCTCTCAACCATCACACAGAAGCACTGACTCACTTAACTGACATTGTTATTGAAAATCCGGATATTGTTCAGGCTATATGTTGAGTGCAGTGTAGAAGATCTCCACATTGGTTTCAGGTGAATGAACGCCTGTCATGCTGTCTTTCCGATCCTGACTACCTTGACATCGTCGTCTGTGCCACTGCGGCCTGTAGTTGAAATAGTGCTGCCTAGGAGGGTGGGTGAAACAGGCTACTTCATTTAAGTTTCTGCCGTTGATGGTGATTGGAGTTTGTTGTTTTTGTTGGTTGGATACCTTCATCACCTCTGTCTTCTCTATATTCACTTGATATCACGTCTTCGCTGCCTCTTCTGACAACTACTACTTCTAGAATCAAGTATTAATTGAATGTTAGTTATCTACAAAATATCTGATTGTAAAGATGATTTCAGCATATCAGAAAGAATGCTAACTGAGACAATCGAAGTCAGAAAACTTTTAAATTCAACCTATATATATATATATATATATAAACCGCCAGGTTATCGAGTGGAATCCAAATCGAAAACAGTAAGTAAGTAAGGCGTTCGAAGATGACATGGAGGAGATAATGTGAGGAAGAAATGAAAAGTTGTAGGCAGTCGTGGAGACAGGTTGAAAAGACTACAGAAAACAGAATGCAATGGAGACGTGCCACTGAATCCCTATGTTCCACTAGGAACCCAAGGGACAAATAATACTAATAGTACACAAGATGAAGAAATGGTTAGTTTTGACGTAACAAATCTCTATACCCAAATATCAACCAATAGGGCATTGCAGACACTCAAAAATCAACCAAATATTGACTCACAACTCACCTATAAAACTAAGATATTGGTTGATGAAGTCTTATTAAGCGTACGGTTGTGCTTGACATCTACAGTCTAACTTATAGGACAAAATATACAGAAAAACAGTTGCACGAGTTGCATTACTAATATTCTTGGTCATATTAAATATATTTATGGATAGTCATGAAAACATCACTTTACCAACGTTTAATCCTCCACCTAAGATTCAGTGGCCAAGTGTGGATGACAAATGTCTAAATGACACAAACAGAAAAATGACTAGTCAATCCAACCACCTAAATAAGAAAATAAAACACATAGAAGAAGCAATAATAGTTAATAATTATCCTCCACAGTTCACTCACAAATTCGCACAAACACATAGAACAAACGAAATAATGACAGTAAGACGAGTACGAATAACAAGGACAACAGGAGTGGGAAGGAGTTCACAGCCTCCATTGTGCTACCACATAAGGAAGGTATATGAGAGAGAAGCTATAATAAACATACGTTCTTCAACAAGGCTGGAATTCAGGTGGTATTTAAACCTACAAACTGAGTCATCAGAGATAAGCTTCATCGGTTGGTTTAAGGATCAGATAGAACCGGTTATGCGAAATACTGTAATGTGTCAAATTCGATGTAATGACTGTAAGGTGAAGTACATAGGTCTGACTAGCCGGCTGGGGTCAGTTAGATTAGCGGAACATAGGAATGTAGCTAAATATACAATGACGGATCGCAGTGACGTCAGTAATCGTGAAAGAAACTCGGATGTTGTATTGATTCATTAAGACACAAGCACACAATAGTGTTGTTGTTGTTGTTGTTGTTGGCGAAACCACTGTACTCAAGTCGAATATAATTATGTGGAGAGAGAGAGAGAGAGAGAAGGACTGATTCCTGAATCTTTGTTTATCGAATCAACTAACACCCAACTCATGCGATAGAGATGACGCAATATCTGTACAAGAGATGTGGAAAAGTTGACTGTGAATAGAAACACAGAATGTTGAGTGAAAGGACTACAGAAAGTAAATGTGGAGAGTGGTGTGATTCCATATTGATATGATTATGAGCGATAATAATTTATACTTGAAATGTAATCCAGTGAATAATACTGTATCACACTATGGGTTATAGATCAAATAAACAAGTCTAATATGGAATTAGATTCTACTAGAATACCGAAGTTTTACACTCATATTGATGTATCGTGTTCTTCTTCTTACAACAGGTTATAGGAGTTTGGCATAACTGTTTAGCTAATGTAACAACGTGTTCAGTACTCGTGTATATATGAACCATTCATGTTATTTAACACTGATCAGTGATGTGCATATGTGACGTTGACGCAAATTGTGATGTTTCAGTGACTAGTGAATGTATGTAATCCAGTCGTAGAGAAGGTGTTTCGTGTTATGAATAGGTGAATGGTAGCGTCTCTGACTGCAGCCTGAGATGACTGAACACCAATTCTGTTGAGCTTGTAGATGCATACACCTTATTAACAAATGCCAAGTGGTACGAAGCCTAGACGAGATAGGCCCTCATAGCGATTGCCTCCATTTTCTTTTCTAATACGAATTCTCTTCTGAACACATTGTTTTTTATTCATCGATTGAATGTTGAATCCTCTGAATCATTTTGTTTGAAACACAACACTTTAAATCCGATAAGAAGAAAAGTTGAATGTAGGAAAATGTTTCCATAACACCAACCCTTATAATAATAACAATAATCATAATAATTATCGTGAAAATGGAAATTTTTATTTTAAAATAAAGAGAGAACAAAATCGAATGATATACACATTTATGGTTCTTTTTTTGTAACGAGAAACTTTGAAGGATTCCACTTATCTATTTATTTTCTGATTCTTTGTCTTCCATAACATTTGGTACTTCAGATGACTAAGAAAAAAAGAATGAAAAATAATTGAAAAGCGAACTGTTTTATAAAATATTATCACCTAGGAGATGGTTAAACTTTAAAGAGTTATGATAGAATATTCACCTATAGTTTGGATGTATACAATTCCTTCAATGGAATAATTAGATGTTATGTAGACTGTTGGTGAACTAATAAAAAACTTACCATGTATGTAAATCTCCGTTACTATGGCTACTAATGAGTAATATGATTAATCAGCTTCTAATAATACCTTATCATTAATGCTAAATTAGGTCGACCAGGATTCGAGCTTAAGGCTTACTTCTTTAAAAGTCAACTTCCATGAGCAGTGAATGAATTAGAAGTTAGTTTGTATAAACCTTTAATTTACGCTTAAATACTGAATTACTGAACCTTGCCTGATTAACTAGTTCACTAGTTACTAGTCGGTCCTAAGCCCAGGTATACAGGGAAGGTTGGGCATTGAGCTAGCAACCCTACCCCACAAAACAAATCCAACCACTAAACAAACTTCAAAGCACAAACAAAATATAAAAAATTAAAGCAAAATTACTCCTCGCTGGAATCGGAGAGGCGAAATGACGCCAGTTGGTGAAAGCCTGACTTCGGGAAGCCAATTGGCCGATGTGTCTTCTCCTCTCTGGATGAAAGCGAAAGTGAACGTGGGGACATGGAATGTCCGCATCATGTTTGAACTTAGCAAGACTGCTCAGGTTGCAAACGAGATGAGGTGTCACACCGAAATGTTAGGAATTTGTGAAAGTAGATGTAATGGAAGTGGACTGTCCAAACTGTCAACTGGAGAATCAATAATCTACTCCGATATTGTCACCCAGAGCACACGACAAACACAAGCACACTGAGTTATGGAGTGGCTATCATGATGTCCCTGTCTCAAGAGCATCGAAGGCTCTCATACACTGGGAACCAATCTTCTCATGCAGGATCATAACAGCAAGGTTCAATTCAAAAGGAAGGAAAGTTACAATCGTATAATGCTGCGCTACGCACATACAAATAATGCAGATGAAGAGGAGGAGGAATCCTACAGACAACTGCAATCAACATTAGACAAGAATCCACTTCAGTTGGCGACATCAGAATTCGAATGAGCAACTTGAATACCAAACGCTTACCAGACAACATAGGAAGAGAACTAACCATGGGCCAAGAAGCATTTGGTGAAATGATAAACGAGAATGGAGAATTGTTTGCAGAATTCTGAGCATTCAACGAGTCTGAGATACAATTTAGATTGAAGTTGGATATTTAAAGAACAAAAAAATCAATGTACTTATCAACTATATCCGGATTCGAGCAGGTGAAAATGAGTTATACCTTTTTTATGAGGCTTAGTGATACTACCTGCCTGCTGAAACCTTATTAAGAGGAATGGTGTTTAAATCTATGACTCGTTGTTTGAAAGTCAACTGCCTAAACACTTAAGCTACAAATTCATGAATCATTTTAATGGCATTCTGTCTTTTATTGATTCGAATCCTCTCGCATTCACTATACAGAAAAAAGAAGTAAAACTCCTTCAATGTACTGTTTAAGGGATTCCAAACTTACAATAGGCTTATTACTCTTTGTTAAGATACTCGTAATGCTCTGTTATTATACTGGATCGAATTGTTCGACCTCTATTGGCAGATAAGCTTATATGTGAATGTGCCTACCATGCTTCAGTGGCCTAGTGAATAGAGCCTTAGCACTTTAAGCGGTCGGCACAAGGTTCGAATCCCAGTGGGAACATCACTCACTGGGATGCAGGTACATCCAAATGACGAGTCCCAAACAGGATGAGACGCGCAACCTGGATTCCTCTACTAACTAACACCAAGTAAGTTATTAAAATGAGCTTATACTTAACATTATACTGGTTACTAGTTTTGAAGTACAAAATTCTACAAGAATATTTATTTCAGTCATTACGAGTGCTTTTTGTCGATGTCGAATTCCCGGTTGGAGTCCATGTGCCAACAGAAACCAAAGATTGGAGGCTACTGATTATATTGTTTACATTCGATCTAAATATCTCAGATCAACTTAATTTCAGTACTGTATCATTCTTTTTTGATCTCTCTGATGAACAACTTCCTATCAATACTTTTCTCTTCATTTGTTTGCCTTCCACGCCCTCCCCGCCCATGGTTTATTCCCCCATGATGGGCTGATAAGACATGCGGTGACTTGAACTGTTATGCAGTAATATCACGTTCTAGGTTGACTTTATTTATCTGTCGTTTATTCATTTCCAGTTGTTTCCTAAGCCAAGTTTGACTCCTGACGTTTGACCTTCACATTTCTGTTCGGAAAGACCAGTCTACATATTAGCAATTTATGTAATTATCAAGTAGGTTTAACAGTTAAGTCATTTTCATTTGCCATGATTATCTTTGTCTCACTTCATTCAGCAGCAAAGGTAATAGATTGACCATAGAATGTTTCATTCATCATCATGCTAGATAAACCAAGAACACTATCTATTCAATTTTTAAATTCAGTTTCCAGATTACTTTACCTTCTTATTTACACATTTTTACGCTTCCTTGATTACTTTTTTTATGGACAAATTTAAACACTCCTAACATGCTTGTTTACTTTCAAGTTCATATTCTCAGCTTGTTCTAACTGAGTTGACCAAACTCTTTGTAATGCTTAGGCATAGTGTTCAACCCACAATCTTGCAACAAATTACCATAGGCTTATTGGAAAGCTTTCAAGGAAGCAGATTTATACAGTCAGTTCGACGATGACGCTGTGGCGTTTGAATTGAAGGTTACTCGGTTTGAGCGCCGGTGGGGACAGTACTCACTCGGGTGCAGTTACATCCAGCTGACAAGTTTCAGATATGACAAAACAAGCGTCATGGACTCCTCTGTTAGTCACCATACAAGCATAATAAATGAGGCAATCGGTTGTGTATGATCTCAAAATAATTCATACACATGTGAAGTATGTTGACGTACAGTAATCACAAGAGGATTCCATCTTGAAACAATATACAGTAAAGGTTTAGCACGTTTTCCTTTTAACTGTGATATAAATTCTTGAACAGAATAACATCATCCCCTTGCCCTAGTATGTTCTCATTCCACTGGGAATAAATTCATAACACATGAAATATGATGCCAGATATATTCAAAGGTTCCGATAGATTTTCTCTTCGAAAAATCAAAGAGAGGTTAATTGATTTCTAGACAGTATTCACCACAAGCTGACATCAGCTAGAGAACCAGTGACAGCGTAGTAGCATTAGACAGCCATTTCACCCTCAGTAGTCCCCACACACGATACTGCTAGGGACTGAACTCAGGATATTCAGCTACTGGTTCACATTTTCCTACTTCGTAATATACTATAATCTTCATTATTGTGTATTTATCCTTACAATCGACTTGGTTAACCCCACAGGTCAAGGTTCCCCATGATAGCTTCAATCTCAGAAAGCGTCAAAAGTGAGCTATCCTGATGAGCCACACACTAGGACAAAAAAGCTGTCCATTGTTCGCTGGTTCTCATTAACTTTCCAATTAACGTCAGTCGGTGATGATAAAATCATTCAATCAATTGAAACAAAACTCTAAAGCCAGTTATTAATTTATCTGTAACTGTAGTCAAAGATTAGAGAGGATTTTAAAAAGAGGATATACAAATATTTCACGCTTATGAGAAACAGATGAATCTTGTTATAGTGTAGAGAAAGATTGACAAAATCTTCATAAGAAACCGTATATTCCTAAAGCCTTCAAAGTTTCAGGGAAGAAACACGTAAATCAACGTGTAAGTATATATATATATATATATATATATATATATATATATATATATATATCAATCTTCTGTATATATCTGCTGGTATTGTCATTGTAAATACACCTTGTGTTATATTACCGCCTTTTTCTATTACGAAGGTAATGTGGGACCATGAAGGGTGGTATCTGAATGTACAATTGTCCACTTACGTATAACATCATATTTTACCAAAACAACACATTCTTTTATTCAGAAATCAATGATCATATCAAATTTGCTATACACTAACAGAAGTAGAACACTTCTAACCAACTAACTAACTAATTAATATGTCCCAAATTGTAAGACATACTATTACCACTACTACTACTCACTTGTATAAGTAGTGCTAAATAACAAAAGTGATATTTTTCTTTCCCAACTGCTTTTTCACTAGTGTTCTATTGTTCAATAACATTTACTTTGTTTAATTCATCACATAGATTTCCTTGAAGGTGTAATTCACTCGCTTTGAACATATGCCTATCACCTGATTGTTTATAAGTATTATTTAATTCACTGGAATAATTGAAATGATTATTTGTATTCTGGGCTACTAATTCTGTTGACAATTGATCAATTTCTTCAATTATTGACAGATTATCTTGATTCATTTCTTTAAATATTGATTTTTGATATGTGCTATTCCGTGGTCCGTAGATTTCTTGTACTTCATCTTTATAACCATCTTCTTTCCGCAATCGAACAGTATTCAGCTGTGAATTTGTTAATAAAGTCATAGAATTCACTATGTCTTTAGTTAAAATAATGTTGGCAGTTGATTCAAGGATCAGCTTCCTGGAATTTTCATCCATTATAGTTAATGGGTAATCAGTTTGATAATGAACACCATAATGATTATGATTTATTATACCATTATTATGACCAATGTCATAGGGATATAATGGTTGACACGGGGAACAGAATTCCAGAGTTTTGTTGCCATTCATTAAAATATCTATCTAAATCAATTAATTGATAGGTTTTATTCGTAATATTCATAATACAGGAGATACAATAGAGTTTTATGCAAACTTAGATGACAGAGTTTGAAGCGAATACGTATTTTCGGTATATTCTCGTCAGGCGTTTTACAAATTATTCAGTATACTTTCAATTGATATCAATATGGCTAAATTAATTCGGGTATATGAATTAAAAGATAAGGATAGCAAAGGCGATAATAACAAAACGAAATCTCGGAAAGTTTGTACATTCTCAGTAATTAATCCTTGCAGGTGTATGAGTGAAGTGTGTGTGTGCAGAGATAGAGAGCGATTAGATAATAAAATGTTGGAATTCTTCCTCAGTTATGAAACTAAGGGCTTGAAACACTTAGTCCCTTTTATGAATTTGGATAAAATAATAAAAAGACGTACAAACTTGAAGATCTACAGGCAAAAATTAACAAGTTGACAAAAGAGGCAGTGCAGCGAAGATGGGACTTCAAGTGAAGATAGAGAAGACAGAGGTGATGAAGGTATCCAACCAATAACAACAACAAACTCCAATCACCATCAACGGCAGAAACTTAAATGAAGTAGCCTCTCTCACCCACCCTCCTAGGCAGCACTATTTCAACTACAGGCCACAGTGGCACAGACGACGACGTCAAGGTAGCCAGGATCGGAAAGACAGCATGACAGGCGTTCATTCACCTGAAACCAGTGTGGAGATCTTCTACACTGCACTCAGCATACGGCCTGAACAATATCCGGATTTTCAACATCAATGTCAGTCAAGTGAGTCAGTGCTTCTATGTGATTGTTGAGAGAGTTGGCTGCGCGTTACGAAAGGCATTTCCGCTGAACTACAGACACGCATCATCAACAACTGCTACCTACACTGGCTCGTCCCTGAAGATGAGATCAGATGTGCAGAATAATAAGAATGAGCAAGAAGGAACTCTGACTGGCTGGGCAACGAACCAACCAAGAATTCATCACTGAACAAACATGTATTGGAAGTGAGTGGAGATGTATTGAGCATACAGTGAGAAGTTGGACTGGGGACACGACGTGTCAGGTCAGTTGCTTGAGTGAAACACCGATGGGAAGCGACGAGTTTGGCGTCCGAGTTGGGGGTGACATGGAGGAGATCGTGTGAGGAGAAAATGAGAGGTTGTGAGCTGTCGTGGAGCCAGGTTGAAAAGATTTCAGAGAACGGAGTGCATTGGAGATGTGCTAGTGAAGCCGTATGTTCCATTAGGAACCCAAGGGACAAATAATAACTACTAATAATTAGAAGACGTAGATTATCTGAAAAATGTGTGATGTATTAGCGCTATGCATTTCGAACAGTCTGATCACACCATTTACTTGTTAAGGCAATTTATATATGAAAACTGAAAGTGGAGGAAGGATAAATATGACTTAAAGGAATTCAATAATAAGAAAGACAAAATTTGAAGACAGTCGTGGTAATATGATGAAATAAGCATTACCAAGGTAGGCTTAGTGTTAGGACAAACTGTTTTTGCACACACAATGAGGGGGTGAAATTTATTTATGCCTAGCGCCTCAACAAACTTAAGTATACGTCCCTAACAGTTTCTATGCAAAATTGTAAAGGCTGTTTTAATATCAATCCTGTGACTCTTATCAATGATATGTTTTGCAATGGATGATGATGGTTGTCTGCTATCTACGATTATCAATGTTTGTGAATCCAGCTGCTTTCGTAGCCACTTTGGAACATGTTCCCTTACCCTCAAGTGCATATCACGATTAGTCCTCCTTATGTATGTTGGTCCGCACACACATATAAATTTATAAACGCAGTGGGATGTGACACAATCGTTTATACAGCGTTGAGATCTATGTTGCACCAGGTGTTTGGTCTTCTCAATTATGAGAAGCTTAGCTGAATAGTACGTTTTGCTAACAACAGACCTTAACTTTCGTTTTAATTTTATGATGTTAGAGTCTCCTCTGTTTGATAACGCGATGTAAACGCATTCCATTAATGTTTCCATTAGTACTTTGATATCATCATCCATTGAGTCTACCGTACAAATACTCTGGATTGAATTCCTTTGTGTCATAACTGTCTTTCCTCCACTTTCAGTTTTCATATATAAATTGCCTTAACAAGTAAATGGTGTGATCAGATTGTTCGAAATGCATAGCGCTAATACATCACACATTTTTCAGATAATCTACGTCTTCTAATTACATTATAGAAACTAAGGATGAAATATAAAATGATAATGATAAGAGTACAACCAACAGAGATAATATTTACATTTACACTTATCCGGGTAACCGGGAAGCAATTGTATCTGGATTGAAGTTGAAGTCCATGGGAGGGAAAGGTAACGAACAAGCATCTTCTGAATACATAAATTAGGTTTGAAAATGTTATTTGCTATGACTTCTGCTGAAGTATTGTGATGGAACTTTGTAAATAATATTAAATTCTGAGGTTTTGTCAATCTTAGCTCAGTATTTACAAGAAGTGCAAATATTGAGCTTCTGATGGATTTCACTCTTCCTTTATCTAACCACCCTAGACATTGCTCAATGAAGCGATGGTGAGCTTGCTGAGTCTTTCTATCTATGTTATTATCTCCACAGAAGTAGTTAAATTTATAAATAAACACACAGGTGTGGCCAGATTCGATAGCCTATCCTTCAACTGCATTGGCATCAAACAGCGAGTAGTAAATTTCAAACATAGTGTTGTGTTAATTATTTATGGTAATGATGGGTAGTGGCTAGCAGTGGAATCCAAGATGTGCATTTCGTCCTATTTAGGACTTGTCAGCTGGATGTACCTGCCTTCTAGTGAGAGATGTTGTTCCCACCAGGATTTGGACTCGGGGTTGATCACTTCAAACGCCACAGCATTCTCCACAACATCACTCACTGGAAGGTGGGTACATCCAGCTGACGAGTCCCAAATAGGACGAAATGCGCATCCTGTATTCAACCGCTACTTACTACCCATCATTACTATACATAATTAAAACACAAGCAATATAGAGGCATCCTCACAGGAGCCTATATGCCAATACAGACTGATCAATTCGATCCAATCAACGACGGTGTAATACAAGCAATAACACCTTTATTGTTATCATCTATTTCATATACCCGAATTAATTTAACCATGTTGATAACAAATAAACACTATACTGAATGATTTTATGTTTACACCAACGTTTTTTTGTTAAAAAATTATGTTTTCGTAAAAATTGAAATGTGGAACAAAAAAAGAAGTTGATTCTTGTTTTCCGTTAAATAATTTATGAGAATAGGGTATGAATTTCGTCAGTCTCCATCATCAATGTACCTATACTGATGTAACTTAAACAACCGCAGAGAATGTCATAAAAATTGGACAGAACAATATTTCAAATATATTTTAAAAAATGTAAATCATGTTCTCTCGGCGTTCATCTTCACTGATTGACGTTTCGGTGACAGACTTGATGTTCTCTAAGAGGTCATCTACACTGATAGACATTTCGGTGACAGACATGATGTTCTCTAGACGTTCATCTTCACTCATTGACGTTTCGTTCACAGACTTCATGTTCTCTAAGAGGTCATCTACACTGATAGACGTCTCGTTAACAGACATGATGTCTTCTAAGCGTTCATCTTCAATCATACACGTTTCGTTCACAGACATGATGTTCTCTAGACGTTCATCTTCACTCATTGACGTTTCGTTCACATACATGATGTTCTCTAAGAGGTCATCTACACTGATAGACATTTCGGTGACAGACATGATGTTCTCTAAGCGTTCATCTTCACTCATTGACGTTTCGTTAGCAGACTTTAATATATCATCAGCATTAATTTCATTAAATCTGGTAATGAAATTTGTACGTGGAAAGATTACAGCTTAGAAAATATCATCTTGGGATAAAAAGTCTTTTCCATTATTTCAGTCGTAATAATATGAAATGTTACCATAGTTGAGATGTTCTTGCGCTTACTATATATGTTGAGATATTCATTGGAATGACAGATGAGAATTAATGATATCCTACTAAATAGTCTCATTACTTACAGTCGATCAATCGACTATCACGATATCTACACTGCAGGTCAATCTTGTGTTGATGTTGTTCTTATGAGTTATCCAATATCCCGTTTATTTGATTGAAATACGAAGAAATAGTATCAAGGCTTGCGTCTACACATACATGCACTTACTGAGTAATGAAAATTACTATATTCCTTGATCTGAATATGACGTTTTATTCTGTTGACTGAGATCTCATGTGACAAACTTTAGATATATAAAGATTGTCAAAAAATTATAGTATGGTAATTGAATGTATCTATTGAAGCTGAACGAAAACAGTGTGGAGATCTACTGCACTCAGCACAAAAAGTGAACAACATTTGGATTTTCAACACCAATGTCAGTCAAGTCAGTGCTTCTGTGTGATGGTTAATAGACTTGATGCGTCAAGAAAGCACCTTCAACAAACTACAGACATTCATCAACAGCTGCCCGCCTACGCTAGCTCGATACTGAAGATGAAATGGCCAGAAAAATAAGAATAAGCAACAAGAAACTCTGTCAGGGTAAACAAACAACCAAGAAACCATCACCTAACAAAAATACAGAGGAAGAAAGTGGACATAGATTGGATTGTGCATACACTGAGAAAACCATTTGTGGATTCATTTTTCTGCTTAAAGCGATAAAACTTTGAAAATTATTAGAATTTCCGATCCAGAAATTACTTCGGTAGGTTCTTTTTCTCTGGAATCGTGAGCAATTCGGTTAGTTGTTCCAGGAGGCAAACATCAACAAGCCATGAGTGAACTAGATCCCCTGTCTGTTGACAAATGTTGGTGAAGTATCTCAACAATAACGAGGAATTAATATAAAAGTTTAGAAATGTGGTTAAATTTAATTCTATATTAGACTTGTTTACTTGGTCTATAACACACAGCGTGATAGAATATTATTCACTGGATGACTTTCGAGTATGAATTATCATTGTTCATAATCATATCAATGGAATCACATCACTTTCAACACCTACTTCTTATAGTCCTGTCACCTTAGATTCTCCGTTTTTATTGTTAGTAAAATTTTCCATATCTCTGGTATGTATAGGTGTTGAGTCATTTCTATTACATGTGTTGGGTGTTGGTTGATTCGATGAACAAACATTCAATAATCAATCTCTCCCTCTCTCTGCACCTAATTATAATGAACCTGAATACAGTGGTTTCACCACCACTAACCACCCTATTGTGTGGTCGAGTGTTAATACTTCCCTTGCAGTAACCAAGGTTCTCTTCTAGATTATTGATCTTATTCGGGTCTGTCGTTCTATATTTAGCTAAATTCCGATCAACCGCTAATCTTACTGACCTCGACAGGTTAGTCTGTCATATTTACTTGACCTTGCAGTCATTACCTGGGATCTGATAGATTAGATTATTCTGCTGGATTGGTTCTATCGGATCCTTAAGCCAGCCAACATAACTTATTTCTGAGTGAGTTTGTGTGTTTGAATGGCACCCTAATTCCAGCTTTGTTGAGTACCCTACGTTTCTGATGTACATTCTGAATTATTATTGTCATTTGTCCTTTGGGTTCCTAGTGGAACATATGGATTCAGTAGCACGTCACCATCTCACTCTCTTCTCTCCAGCCTTTCCAACCTGGCTCCACCAATGCCCACAAGCTTTCTTTTCTTCCTCACATTATCTCCTCCATGTCATCCTCGGATATTCAGCTCAACGTTTACCATTCCGCTTTCACTCGACCGCCTCGCCTGACCTCGCACTTGATGTCCCCAAACAGTCTTCTCACTGTTTATCAAATCCATTCCATCTACACTCTCTTACACTGAATATTTGTTAGTCGATTGGTTCTCCGTTGGTTCGTTGACAGCCAGCCAACTAGAGTTCCTCCTTGCCTATTCTTATTATTCTGGTCATCTGATCTCCATCTTCAGTATCCAGTCACAGTAGGTGGCAGCTGTTGATAATGTATGTCTGTAGTTTGTTGGAAATGCTCTTCGTAATGTGCCAAGTCTCTAATCCATATAGTACAGAATCACTGACTTGACTGACATCTGTGTTGAAAATGTGGATGTTGTTGACGCTTTATACTGAGTGCAGTAGATCTTCATACTGATTTCAGATTAGTGAAAGCCTGTCTTGCTTTTCCGATCCTGGTTTTGACATTCTCATCTGTGCCACCTGTAACTGAAACGATGTTGCCTTGCCTAGGTAGGTGAAAGAGACTACTTCCTTTAGGTTTCTCCTGTTGATGGTGTTTCATGGTTGTTGGTGGTGCTGTTACTGGTTGGGTATTTTCATTACCTCTGTCTTCTCTACATTCAGTTGAAATCCCATCTTCCTCCACTGCCTCACCTCTTCTGTCAGCTTGTTAGTTTTCGCCTATATATCTTCGAGTTTGTAGAACATTAGACACAAGTCATCGTCGGCGAAATCCAAATCCTCTTCTGGGGTCTTTTCATCGATCCAGCATATGCCTATCTTCTCGCCCCTCACGGCTTGGTGCATGATCCAGTCAGTCATCTTTATTCTTTGAATAAATGATAAATTGATTTTTACACTACATCGAGTGAATTATCCTTACCTTCAAAATACTTTTGAAAATAATCCCAAAGAAGATTTCAGAGGTGATAATTATCTTCTCAATGAATTCAGATGTTTAACAATAGTCATTTTTGAATAAGGTTTATGCCGAGAACTTAAATAACCTTAACATTTTACTTCCATGAGGTTGAACCGAAAAGCGGACCTGACATATCTGTTCGTAGATTCGTTAACAGAATCCTATTCCAATCCAATTCTCATGAAACTGTCAAATATGAATTAGGGAGATGCTGTTTTAAGCAATTCTCTCTCTCTCTCTCTCTCTCTTACGTTTTATTCCTTTATAATGTTTATTCCCTGACATTCTGAAATCTGTTCTACTTTTTCCATGTTACAAAATATCTGAATACTCCTTTGCTAGACTTATCTTCATTGATGTACCAATCTAAACTCTTCACTGGAACGTCTTTTGAAATAGTCTGTCCGCTGAATAACACATATTTACTAATATATAGTTTTGAAAATGACCCATTATTTCTGTGTGCAACAACTGAAAAGGGGAGATATTTCGGTGGTGGTGGCAATTGACAGGATACTCTGCCCAAACTAGGCTTCGTATTTGTTAGCGTTAGTTGACAAAGTTTGTCAACAACCTCCAGGGGATGGATATTCCCCACACCAACCAGCGCTGAAACCAAAGGCGTCATCTAATGCACTCCTTCAGGAAGTCACTCACTAACCGAATAACTCATTAAGAGTGTCCCTGACCGTAGCACAGGTTCACATGAGTTTAAATCTCTTAGGAAACACCAATTCACTCCTGGTTGCAGATACATCTTGTTAATACCGACAGCTCTCGAACAGGGATTTCTGTTGATCGCCAGCTACCAACTAACATCAATAAAAGTTGTAACGATGGACAGTGGCTAACGTTGGAATTCAGGATGAGCATTTCGTCCTATTTAAGACTCAGCGAGAAGTAACTGCCTCCCACAGAGTGTTCTTCCCACCGCGATTCGAACTGGGGACCGATCGCTTCAAGCGCTACCCACTACACCACCGAACCACTATAGCCACTTCTTGTGCGATTAGTATAGTTTGAAACGTTTGAGGTGATCGGTCCCGAGTTCGAACGGCAGTGGGAACAGCATTACTCACTGGGAGGCAGGTGCATCCGGCTGATGATTCCCGAATAGGACGAAAGGAACACTCTGGATTCCACTGCTAGCCACTATCCATCACTACTATATGATTAAAAACACAGGCAATATCGAAGCATCCGCACAGGAGCCTGTATTTTAATAGACACCGATAGATTCAGTCCAATCAAAGAAGGTATAATACAAGCCACAACATCAATCAAAATTCACCATCATGCTGAATCTTTTGTCATGGTGAACACATTACAAAATAATTGACAGAATTCGGATAGCACTAATGACTAGATAACATGAAGCTGGTTACTCTCCAGTGACCAGTCAATGTATTTCCAGCCTGTCAATATACGTTTTATCATTTTGACTATCTGGGATAGTCGTGGTTTAGTAGACCACTATTACTAATACTGGCTGGTGATTGAAGATGAGATGAAAATTTGGACATCAGGGGGATCCGACCCATCGATCACGGAATTTCCGGGTTGGCGCTCCACCGACTGAGTTACGAGGTTCATTCATTCTTGGTGATCCAGGTGAAATAAAAATCAGGACAGCAGTTGGACCTCATAACTCAGTTGGTAAAGCATCGAGCGGGATACCCAATGGTCCCTGGTTCCATTCCGGCAGCAGTCCGAATTTTCATTTCACCTTCAATCATCACCCAATATAAACGTACATTTTATTTCGATTTAGAACTTTTGTGAAATAAATCTGACACTCAGATGTGGTTAATTATTCATCAAGGGTGATTAAATTCGCCTTTTAAAAAAGGAAACACTTATTACTTATGAATTAGTCGATAACTTCTGTTTCAGTAAACATATCCAACGTTTTAGAGGTTCATTCATTCTTATGAAAAACTCAAATAGATCATACTAATCACAATATTCTAATAGAAGAAATTATTAAGAAATCTTACATTCAGCTCCTTTATAGCATGTTCATCGACATCCGATGAAATAGACACTGGTACTGTAAATTCATCTTTGGTATAAATTGCCTCTACTTCTGATTTCTTCAGCTGATTATCTTTTGATATGGAATCAGATTCTTTTCCAGCCTCAGAAGGAACAATATGTCTCGGTGATTCTTTCATATCAGCATCCTTTACTGGTATCTCAGCTAAATTAGTATTACTACCATGGACTGGTGTTGCTAATGTTCAGTTTAAAACGAAAAAAATAAACAAAACACTATTGAAATGTGAAATACAGTCAAATAGATAGATTTTTGAACAATTCAAGAACAAAGACTATTTACCGGATATAAAGAGCTCATTTTATTTTCATGGCATTCATCAGCTGCATACAGCCTACAGTTAGGATGAAGTATTAGTAGTAGTAGTAATCATGGCATAACATACTTTACATTTGTAGAAATAAATCGAAATCTAGAATCCGAGATTAACAACAAGGTAGTGAATGAGTCAAGGCAACACAGGATTAATAGTTACATATCCCAGTCAAAATCAGTTGCCATTTATATCTAATGAGATAGAAAATTCTGGAGCTGTGAAGTGAAGGGACAACAAACGAAACTCAGTGTAAGAGAAAACACTGCTTAAGACGTAGAAGGTTACGTAGTGACAGGAAAAGCTGGAAAATCATTAAGTGATTAACAGTCGGTCAGTAATTAATGATGAGATGATTTAATCAAAAGAAAAACGAAGAGTATGTAGATACATATGCGAAGATTGTATACAGTTACCAAGGTAAAGAAAGTTTGATTATAGTCTCCCTTTGGATATATAGGTCAGGTTGAAAATGTTTGGTAGGGAGAGCTCCCGCTTCCCTTCTTTGTTTGTTGATCATCCTGAAGGATTGAGAAACATCTACATTTGATGTCCTGTCTCCATTTTATCCTGCAAATCTCTTTGTTCTTACACTGTTCAAGTATGACAATAGCTTCTTCCGTGTGTAGCAAGTGAATACATAGACTAGTCCGAAGATTGAACGGTACATGGTAAGTAACTTTAACTGTATGAACAACTTCGCTCATCGGATTCTACGATCTCCACGTTTATACAGTCTTCTGAAAATACACAACATAGGTATTCCACTCCGTCAAATACTAGACATCGGATGAGATAGAAAATTCGGAAGCTGTGGAAATGTGGAGGAGGGACAACAAAAGAAAATCAATGTAAAAGAAGGGACTGTTTAATAGGCGGAAGGTTATGTGATGACATGAAAAGCTGGAAAATCGTTAAGTGACTAACATCCAGTAAGTAATTAATGAGGAGATGATGTAATCAAAAGAAAAGTGAAGGCTTTATACATGCTTATACAAAAAACTATATAGTTATTAAGGTATGTTATGGCATTATTACTACTGTTATTACTTCATTTCAGTTGTCTGCTGCTGATGAAAATGAGCTCATTTTACCCTGCGAACGTCTTTGTTCTTGCATTTTTCAGATATGTCAACAGAACTAAATGCATGACAAACAGGTAGAAATTGATGTATCAATGAATAAATTTCCTTTCATAACACTCAAGAAATACAGCTCAAACACTTTAGGTGAACAGGAATGGAACTACATTTTCAGATGAATAGCCAGGCCTGTAACAGGATAAAGGATAGAAAATTGGGATACACATTCACAAACTTGAAATTAGTATACATGTAATACACCTCCAGCCTTGAAATCTATCTTGTAATAGGTGCTACTGATAACAATGGATATAAGTAGTATGTGTTAGGAGGATGGCAAAAATCATAGGCAATTACCAGCAACGGGTAAAGATGCTGTCCAGAGAAACGCAAGAGACGATATGGGCGTATGAAGAGCAAACTGAGATAGGAGAACAAGAGGAAATGAAACACATTGTGCAAATGACTGTCTTAGTGGAAAGTGCACAATATTCCATCAGAACTGTACAAGATGTCATAATAAACATTCTGTCCTGCCTCTCACTCTTCACCGTTCCTTACAATGTCACTTAGATCTGTTAACTAATAATTCTTAATCCAAAAAAAACACAAAAGAGATGGTTGCAGAGAAGAAATAATTTCCTCTTCGCCGAAGTCATTCACCAAGCTCAACATTCAAGAATGTGTTACACGGGGGTGGAATGTTCCAGAATTGTTTCCGGTCAGAGGTTAAAATTTGACGAATAACCATAGGCGGTTACGCAATACCAATGAGCGTTGGGAGTTGGAAAATAAACAAGTGACTTTGAAAATAGAATGCATAATTTCGTATTGCAGGAGTTATATATGATTTCTTCCACACATTATCTCCTCCATGTCACTCTTGGATATTCAGCTCAACGTTTCACATTCCGCTTCCACTCAACGGCCTCGCCTGACCTCGTACTTGATGTCCCCAAACAGTCTTCTCACTGTTTATCAAATCCAATCCATCTACACTCTCTTACACTGAATATTTGTTAGTCGATCGGTTCTCCGCTGGTTCGTTGATAGCCAGCCAGCCAGCCAGCCAGTCAGTCAGTCAGACAACCAGAGTTCCTCCTTGCCTATTCTTATCATTCTGGTCATCTGATCTCCATCTTCAGTATTGAGTCAGCGTAGATGGCGGCTGTTGATAATTTATGTCTGTAGTTTGTTGGAAATGCTCTTCACAACTTGCCAAGTCTCTAATCCATATGGCATAGAATCACTGACTTGACTGACATCTGTGTTGAAAATGCGGATGTTGTTGACGCCTTATGCTGAGTGGAATGGAGTGCAGTGGAGTGCAGTAGATCTCCACACACTGTTTCGCTGTCTTTCCCACCCTGACTCAGACATTCTCATCTGTGCCGCCACCACTGCCTGTAGTTGAAACAATGCTGCCATACCTGTGGAGGGGAACAGACAACTCTCTTTACATTTCTCCCATTTATGTTGGCTGGTACTTGCTGTTATTGTGGGCTGAGTACCCTCATCACCTCTGTCTTCTCTACCTTCACCTGAAGGGAGTCCCATCTTCCTTCGCTGCCTCGCCTCACCTCACCTCACCTCACCTCACCTCACCTCACCTCTTCTGTCAGCCTGCTATCTTTCACCTGTAGATCTTCGAGTTCATATGACAAGAAATTAGACATAAATCATCATCGCAGGCAAAATTCAAACCTTCTTCTGGATTCTCTTCATCGGTCCACCCAGAGTATTCCCATCTTCTCACAGCTCCTCACAGTTTCTTGCATAGTCCAGTCCAGTCCATTTCAGTTCAGTCCAGTCCAGTCCAGTTGACCACAATCAGGAAGATCATGGGTAGTGATTGTAGGCAGCAACTTTGTCTTACTCCTTTCCTCTGTCTTCACTTCAAAGGCATCACTGAGTATTCCATTGTGAATCATTTGGCATGTAGCATCATATAGCATATAGCTGCTGTTGAATGTTGATAAATGTTTGTGGCACTGTGGTTGTAGTGTTGAATCAGCTTCCTGCCAAATTACTTCTCGGTCAGTGCCTCTTCAAAGTCGATGAAGTTGATGAGGAGAGTTCACTTTCATTCTATGCTGTGTTCCATGATGATGTGTAGTGTTGCGTTGCAATTTGATCCACATATAGTTTATTCTTTCTGAAGTCAGCAACCTGTTCCGGTCAACGGATCTGTCTGAGAGAGTTTGTGGGCTTAACCCTACTTGTAGTATTGTTAAGAATTCCAAATGAAATTTCTAATATGTCTTCTCTGTATGGCGGCACTACAGAAGATATGAATTCCTTCATAGGCATGTTGCAATCACCACTAGGATTACCACTCTTTCTCTTATCACTCCTTATAAACCTTTGAATAAATTCTAGAGGATAGTTAGTAAGAATTGGTGTCTCTGTGATGTATTTCATCTCCTCATTTAGGCTTGCAGACCTACTAGTCAAACTCCTAGCCCAAGTACCAAAACAATTTATCAAGCCCACTTTGATAGATAGAGGGTGAGATGACCGTAAATCCGAGTGTCTACTGGAATGTGTGTTGCTTTCCTATAAACACTGGTATATCACTTTCCATCTTCTCACTACAGTGTCCAACATTTTTTTTCTTACATTAGCCAACTGGAATATCATTTCACCAGAATAAGGACTTTATTCCTAATTGATTACTGATAAACTTATAAAGTAGTATGAAATTCTTCATCTTTTTCGACTTCAAGTTAACAATTAACGTGAAAAATAATTCACACTTTGAAATGAAATATGAAATTGCACCTGTTTTATGATATATAGACAATGGGATACTCTGCGGTTTATTGTTCCCAATAGATAACAAAAATCTTTGGTGTGTGAATTGATAAAGCTTATTAGATTCTAATGGCTGTAGCTTTCCCATACATCTGTTAATGATGCGTTTCTTCAGCTGTCCACCCTATCTTACTCCACAGTGGGTGTACGATATATGATTTTAGGTTTGTTTCAAGAATAACTGATTTTCGTAATCAAAAAAACATATAATTGACCACAGTTAAATATAGGTAGAGAGTACTCGGAGGTTTGTCTTACACCTGAGTATGTGACAATTCCTCCAACTGATGATGGACGCTAACTACGGTATGATTATGTTGAAAAATGTTTAGTAGTGATCAGATTATCAAGCCATTGAACATTGACCTCGATCATTTATAAAAGTTTTTAAATTCAGCCGTTGAAAACATGTAGCAGCACAGTTCAGAAATGATCTGAGATCTAGTAACTATCCATCACTTTTTTCATTCTTATATTCATCTATTCATTATTTCGTTGATGAAAAAAAGTATCTTCTATGAATGAGACAGATGGATAGAAAGAATGAAGTTAGGTGTCTCTCCGGTTCATGCGAAGGATATTCAGAATTCTGCTCAAGGTGTTTAGAATACTGTATTTTCCTATTGTCTATGTACTTCAAATGAGACCAAATCAGTCCCTAACAAGTTGGAGTAGCCTAGGGTTTAATCCATAAGTATATCTATACAAAAGTTAAGTAGGCACGGTAAGAGTGGATATCCTTTGTGGAAATATCTGATTATTGCTGCCTGTGGATAGGTATCTACAGCTGTCAATGAGAAGCTATTTTAGAGTTGTGTTGGTTTTTAGAAGCTGTTCAATGTACTGTTAACTTTATCTTAAAAAATGCATCACTGACAAAGTTATGCCATACTATTTGGTTATAAGCTTTTCATAACTGGCAGACTATTGAATATACTTCAAAAGTTTTAGATAAAATCATGTTTCTCTGTACCATTCTTTATTTTTTTTCAACTGTTAGTAGACGCTAAATCTTTACTCAAGGATTCTGTTGAAGTGTTCATCATCTACAGTGAACTAGTTCCTTTTCCTTAAGGAATAATATCTATTTGATTAGTGTAAATCATATAGTGATCTCGAAAATTACAAATTTTCTAAGAAAAGCGCCAGGCCCTTGGATGAAATCCAAAAAGGAAACGACGAGTTGGGCGTCCGAAGCAAAGGTGACACGGAGGAGATCATATGAGGAAGGACTGAAAGCTTGTAGGCAGTAGTGGAGCCAAGTTGAAAAGACTAGGGAGAAGAGAGTGGAATGAAGGCGTGCTACTAAAGCTCTATGTTCCACTACGAACCCAACGGAAAAATAATAATAATAATGTTGAGGTGATCAATTTAAACACTTTTCTGTGGAAGACGTTTACTTATCAACCAATTACATAGAGTATACTTTTAAATTATAATGACTTTATTGTACATTTTACTGATGAATATACTGTCGAAAGAATGAAGCGATTTCTACTAATCTCCCATTCACACATAGTGTATTGCATAGAAAGGTGAACTAACTGTGATTTGATATTCAGTAGCCTTTAAAATTGGATTATAAATCACATCGTAGAAGCGAAGACTACTTGGAAGCTCTAGTGATTTTTAGAACCCCTTCCTATGTGTATCATATATGAGAAGACATATTAGAAATTTCAATACACTTCATAGGAGCAGTTTTAAGTATCAAAACCCTGGAAACCTTGAAAACATGTAGAACTTCATGTTTCTTATTGATTATTCACCGACCCATAAGTTAGTTCATAGAGTTTAGTTTCCAGTTGATTTAAAAAAGACCATTGAAGCGACAACACTAGAATCTGATATGAACTGAAAATCTGGGTCGAAAAAAGCGACATTCAAAAGTGACCAACATTTTCATTTCACCCATAACCATTACGCAGTATCAGTAATACAAGTCTGCTAAACAATGGCTATCTCAGATAGTCAGACTTATTATTTATTATATTATTATTAAGTAAGTGAGTAAATTGTTATATTATTATTTTTCCCTTGGCTTCCTAGTGGAACATACAGATTCAGTAGCATGCCTCCATAACACTCTCTTCTCTATAGTCTTTTCAACCTGGAGCCACGACTATCCACAAGCTTTCATTTCTTCCTCAGATCATTTCCTCTATGCCATCCTTGCCTCTAACGCCCAACTCGTAATTTCCCATTATCCTTCCACTCGACAACCTGGCCTGGCCTGACTTGTGATGTCCCCAATCGACCTTCTCAGTGCATGCCCAATCCATCTCCACTTCCTTCCACTGCATAGTTGTTGGGTGATAGGTTCTTGGTTAGTTCGCTGCCAGACAGCCAGAGTTCCTTTTTGCTTATTCTTATTATTCTGGCCATCTGATCTTCGATTTCAGTATCGAGCCAGTGTAGGCAGCTGTTGGAAATGCTTTTCGTGACATACCAAGTTTCTGAACCATATAGCATCACTGATTTGACTGACATTGGTGTTGAAAATCCGGATCTCATTCACGCTTTATGCTGAGTGAAGTAGATCCACGCACTGATTTCAGATTAATAAGAGCCTGTCTTACTCTCTTTCCGATTTTGGTTTTGATATCCTTGTCTGTGCCGCCACCACCTGTAGTTGAATCGATACTGCCTTACCTAGGTAGGTGAAAGAAACTACTTCCTTTAGGTTTCTCCCGTTGATGGTAATTGCAGCTTGTTGTTGATGCTGTTATGGTGGTTGGTTGGGCATCTTCATCACCTCCGTCTTCTCTACACTCACTTGAAGTCCCGTTTTCTCTGCCTCGCTTCTTCTGTCAATTTGTTAGTTTTCGCCTGTAGATCTTCAAGTTTGTGCAACATTAGACACAAGTCATCAGCGGCGAAATCCAAATCCTCTTCTGGGGTCTTTTCATCGGTCCAGCATATGCCCATCCTCTCGCTCCAAGTGAATAAATAAAAACGTGAAAAAAACACGTGGTTTTCCCGTCATCTTTGTTAATTTCATTACTTCCAACAAGAAAAACTGTCTATCCTAATATGTTGTGCTAACTCGTGTAAGATTGCTTTAGAAAGAGATGAGATATAATTAAGTTAAAATGTGAAACCAGTGGATAAAGTTTTCAAAAACTTGTCTAGGCTATGCAGAAGAGGGTCTAAGTATGCAGCGCCAGCCAGCTGAAACTAAACTAGATAAACCTTAGATGATCGTACACAAAGCCTGTTTTATATAGACATTTGCATCAGATCTTCAATTAAATCTTAAAACTATCCTCTTTTCATTACAACAGCTAGCCTTAACTCCAAGTATTTTGAATATTACAAAAGTTTATCACTGATCTAAAAAAGATTACAGTCACCGGTCGAAATCATTAGTTGTTAGCACATTTATTATATGGAACATAGGGCACGTCTCCACTGCACTCTCTTATCTGCAATCTTATCAAACTCGCTCCACAACTGCCCACAAGCTCTCGTTTATTCCTCACACCATCTCCTCCATGTCACCATCGCCTTGGACGCCCAACTCGTCTTTTTCCGTCTGGGTTCCACTTGAGGGACTGGCCTGACGCGTGATGTCCCCAGTCCACCTTCTCAGTGTATGCTCAATCCATCTCCACTTCCTTCCACTGCATATTTGTTAAGCGATAGCTTCTTGGTCGGTTTCTCGCCAACCAGGGTTCCTTCTTGCTTATTCTTTCTGTCCATCTGATCTTCAGTGTCAAGCCAGTGTGGGCAGTTGTTGATGAATGTCTGTAGTTTATTGGAAATCCCTTTCGTAACGCGCCAAGTCTCGAAACCACATAGAAGCACTGACTTGACGTTGGTGTTGAAAATCCAGATCTTGTTCCACATGCAGAGTGCAGAAGATCTCCACACTGGTTTCAGGTTAATCAATGCCTGTCTTGCTTTTCTGATTCTGACTTTGACATCCTCGTCTGTGTCGCCTGTAGTTGAAACAGTACTGCCTAGATAGGTGAAGGAGGTTACTTCCTTTAAGTTTCTCCCGTTGATGGTGATTGGAGCTTGTTGTTGTTGTTGTTGGTGTTGGTGGTGGTGTTGTTGGTTGGGTATCTTCATCACCGTTGTCTTCTCTACATTCACTTGAAGTCCCGTCTTCGCTGCCTCCCCTCTTGTGTCAACTTGTTAGTTTACACCTGTAGATCTTCAAGGTTGTGTGTGCTTAGTATTTCACTGTAATTAGGAATAGTCACCAGGACCTGTGGAATAAATTAACTACTAACTATCTAGCCTTCTTAATGGAAAATATGATTACAGTATCTGACATATACTCAAATTGTACGCTTGACACTAACTCTTCTCTTAGGTTCTACGTATGGATCCAGTTGTTATATCATAGCCTGTTACAGAGTAATGCCACATCCGAAGCCATCGGTGTTAGCGAATGACTTGATGTTTAGATTCAGTTATGCGTCAGAGTTAGCCGGAGATTGTCGAACACGGGTGAGTGAATATAATTCTGTAGAAAAAAACCTAGAGTACTTTGTAACTGCCAAAGCTTTTCATGCATTCACAGCCACTAATAAAGGTGTAAAACTTGGGCATTGTGATAGAATTTAATTCCATATTAGATTTGTTTATTTGATTTATAACATACAGTGATCTAGTATTATTTACTTGATGACGTTTCGAGCATAAGTTATTACTGATCATAATCATATCAGTGCAATCACACTCCACTTCCAACATTTGATTTTTACAGTTACGTCGCTTTATACTAGTTGTTTTTACTGGTATCAAAACTTTCTATGTCTCTGCTATGAACGGGTGTTGCATCATTTCTATTACATGTGTTGGGTGTTGGTTGATTCCATGATCAAAGATTCAGTAGATAGTTTGTGTGTGTCTCTCTCTCTCTCTCCACATAATTATATTCGACTTGAGTACAGTAGTTTCGCCAACAGCAACAACAACACTATTGTGTGCTTGTGTCTTAATGAATCAATACAACAGCAGAGTTTCTTTCGAGATTACTGATCTCATTCCAATCTGTCATCATACATTTAGCTAAATTCCCATGTTCGCCTATATTTAACTAACCCCGACCAACTAGTTTGACCTACATACTTGACTTCAAAGTCATTACATGGTATTTGATAGATTAGATTATTTTGCTTAGTTGGTTCTATTGGATCCTTAAGCCAGAAGACAAAGTTTATCTGTGAGTGAGTTTGTAGGTTTAAATGCCACCCTTATTCCACCTCTGTTGAGGATTTTGCGTAAAGTTTCTGAGGTGTTCTCCTTATAGGGCAATACAATGGAGTCTGTGAACTCCTTTTTACTCGTGCTGTTGTATAGACAGACAGACGGAATCAACAAGTGTGACCAGGTACAGAAATACACCAGTTTAATTTGTCACACTTCGCAGCAACATACAAATTAAAAAAACTGAACAGAAAATAAGTGACATCAAGTTAGATAAAAGTGTATGATGAAAGAGACAGAAGGGAGAATAAGTAGATGGATATTACTGAAAATATTCACAACTTCACTGATATAGAATGTGTACCTCTTTGCCAGTGTGGTCAGTTTTCAGCCTAATCACCGAGAATATGCAACCACCAATCTTAAACTTCTAGACGATCCTCGCCGGGTAGTTTCTGCCCACCTTCTTGGCTTCGACTAACAACCAGAGACTTGAACGGTAAGGTCCATCTGTCGTTTTGAAATAATACACCAGAAAATATAGCAATTTAACACTTCATAAAAATACCCTTTCAAGTTGTCACAATCACGAACAGCATAGAAAAGCCAAATGATTAGTAGATAAACATTGTAAGGAACAAGAATAGAGAGAACAATTCAGTGGAGACCAGTAATTCCCATCTTAAAAGGCATGAATAAATCTGTGCTATCACTGACGCATTTCGAGCTATCCTATAAAATCTTTAATCGTTTATTTCACCCATACTAAGAAACCTCTTGATACAGCCTATACTTTCTCATATGGTCCACACCAGTAGTCAAGGGCCCGAGACACTACCAGTATATCTTCGTCTTACTATCCTCAAGTTTCTTGCAACATGATCGAACAACACATATAAGTGAACATAGAAAGAAATGAGGAGTTAGCAAAAATGACGCACACCACAGTCACCTCATTTAATATGTTTACCCGCCTAGAACTCTGTGCAAAGTATACTTAGGAGTAGATTATTGATTCTCCAGTTGACAGTTGAGACAGTCCATTTCCATTCCATCTGCTTTCGCAGATTCCTAACATTTCGGTGTGACACCTCATCTCGTTTGCAATCTGAGCAGCCTTGCTAGGTTCAAACATCGTGCGGACATTCCATGTCCCCACGTTCACTTTCGCTTTCATCGAGGGAGAGAAGACACATCGGCCAATTGGCTTCCCGAAGTCAGGCTTTCACCAACTGGCGTCATTTCGCCTCTCCGATTCCAGAGAGGAGTAATTTTGCTTTAATTTTTTATATTTTGTTTGTGTTTTGAAATTTCTTTAGCGATAGGATTGGTTTTCCGGGGTAAGGTTGCTAGCTCAATGCTCAACCTTCCCTGTATACCTGGGCTTAGGACCGACTAGTAACTAGTGAACTAGTTAACCAGTCGAAGTTATCTTATGCGTCTTTGAACCTGTATCAAGCATGATGCTGAGATCGTATACTGAACATGGTTGAACATTAGCTACACTGAAGTGTTGAATGATTATGGCGCATTACACATCATCCCGTCCGTAATTGTAAAAATGTGAAGCTAGAATGACTATTTGAGACTACTTCCAGACAAGAAATTCAATTCCAAATTACTTTTTACAAAAAGAAATCAAACTTATATTGTGAAGGTAGTTTCCACTACTGAAAAATATGATTTGGATAATCGTTGAAAATCTGTGAGCACTGATAGGTGTTTCACTGTATGCTGGGACTCTCCTCCCCATCCCGTGATCCTAAGAAGAATTCTGCCTTCTTGTGGTCACAGCCCTGTTATTCAGTCACTCAGTTGTAGTCAACTGGTTCACATTTCTCCACTTTTGTCAATTTACGGTATGGCTGGTAGAAATCTGAAGTAACGACAATCTGGGCTTCAATTCTTCCCTAGATTGCAGTTCCACATTGCTGAGAAAATCTCAAACTTCCAAAATAAATTAATCTAGTACTCATTGGTAACTAATTTCTAGAGGTGATTCCATTGAATTCCGACTCTATGACTCAATGGCAACGTGCTGGTTGTGGAACCTAGATGTCATCTGTTCGATCTCTGGTGGGATCACAAATGCGGGTTGCTGAGAAGTTTCATACAGTTGTGATTCTCTATACTACTTTGACTAATTGATATTTATGCATGATAGGAACCACTTTTGAAAACTAATAGGAATTTTCAAAACTTTCACTAACCTGATTTACTCTCCTTCAATCCACTTGCTCCACATCCCATATTTATTATGATAGACAACTTGATCACTGTTATTGATGACTATTACAAGAATATTCCAGGAAGAAATATGATTTTAATTTCCAATTTCAAATTGTATACACTGTTATTATTTTGTTTCTATTTCGTCTTTTGTCCCTTTGTGTTATATGTTATTATTGTATAATGAATCTAATTAATTAGGGAAAACAAAACTCCCTAAACATGATTATCTTACTAATTTGTTATTTATTTGAAAATTAATTAGTCTATTGCTGAGATCTATCGGTTAAGGTCATCTGGATGGTATTCTATAGACAGATAATAAACTAGATGACTGATTGAGTGGGTGAGTAGGTAGATAAAGAAAAAAACCATGGAATAGGTGAATTCAATCACATTCTCTATTGATTTTTGTTGTCTAGTTGTTAATTGTGTTCCATATTGGCCAACTAGCTAACTGGTTGTGCATAAATAAGCAAGAATCATGTTATGATCAAGTATTTCGATTATGTTTACCTTTAGTGTGTGTGTGTTCATTTGTATGCTAATTGTTTACACGTATGTAGGTTTCATTGTTATCTTAGGTAACATGAAACTAAAGTAGAATGTGAAACGAAATAGGTGAGTTATCTGCCCGATAAAATATAATTGATGTGAAATTCATGGACATATTTGTCTCTTAGTGATTATTTCACAAAATATGTAATGCTTATCAACGATATCGCTGACATCTTCTACTAATTATGCAACAGTATTCGTGAAAGATGGACACAGAGTTTGATTAACGCGATAATAATAATAATAGAATAATCTTTGAGGGGGTTGTGGAGATTTGGAAATATTTCAAGTTGTTATTCATCGAAGACTGACATCAGTTGGAAGAACAAATGAAACCTGGGAGCACTTGACAGCTGTTTCGTCCTAGTACGGGACTCCTCAGCAGTGCGCACCCACGACCCCACCAGCAGGGATCAAACCCGCGACCTTCGGGTTCCCCGGCCAGCGCGTTACCATTGAGCCACTGGGTCAGAATCCAATGCTCCATATTTCCAACTTCTGTTAGCTCACGATATAGCGCGAACCGCCACCCAATGCCATCGTTGAGTATCTATCCTGACGGCCATCAGGCTTTGACTCCACCGGTCACGACTTGTCATTGGGACTTCGGGAATACTTCTCGAAGCCAGTCACCAATGAGCACCAGTTCAATTAAATTTTGAGGGAGTTGTGGAGATTTGGAAATATTTTAAGTTGTTATTCATCGAAGACTGACATCAGTTGGAGGAACAAAGGAAACCTGGGATCCCTGCTGGTGGGGTCGTGGGTGCGCACTGCTGAGGAGTCCCATACTAGGACGAAACAGCTGTCCAGTGCTCCCAGGTTTCCTTTGTTCCTCCAACTGATGTCAGTCTTCGATGAATAACAACTTGAAATAGAATAATCGTCAAACTAGTAAAAGTGTAAGATTTCAGATATTTTTGAAAAGTTGGATCAATAATAGATTTACAGGTAAATTGGATGATATCGAATGACCAATCCATATGTAATCAAGTAAAATATACGTGAACTTTAAAACCTTCATCTTCGAGTCATTTGACTTCCATTGATTCATTCTTATGCGGACAAAAAGAGGAGATGGGTATCTCATTGACAGTATGGCCTCCGGTAACTTGGTAACCGAATTGTTCAACCTCTTATGGCATATGCGCTGTTGTGTGGAGAGATTGTAATTCCATTTTAGTCTGTTTATTAGAAATGTCACATACAGTGAAGGAACAATATCACTGACTGGATAACAACGTTTCAGACACAATTTATTGTCCATATTCAGATCAGAAGGTAAATCCATAACTTTCAGACATAGTTTATGTATAGTAATGATGGGCAGTGGAATCCAGGACGCGCATTTCGTCCTATTTGGGACTCGTCAGCTGGATGTATCTGCCTCCCAGTGAGTGGTGTTGTTCCCACCGGGACTCGGACTCGGGAGCGACCACTTCAAACACCAGGGCGTTCTCCACTACACCACCGAAACACGATAGCCACTTCTTGAACGACGGGTATAGTTTTAGTATTATCGCTTGTATGACACAGAAGCCAATATGCCAACAGAGACTGATCAATTCAGTCCAATCAACGATGGCATCATACAATCAATAACACTAGAGTTTATGTAGTCCTAATATTCCCTCCTTCTTTGTGATGACAGGAGTAGTAGACGTTTTCATATATCTAGGACAGGTGTAGAATCATTTCTGTTACTGCATGTATTTCTTGTGGATTCGATGAACAAAGATTCGGTTATCAATCTCTCCCTCTACCCAACTATGTTAATTTTCAACTCTGTCACCCTATCCTAGCCTACTGTGTGATTGTTTGTAATTACGTGCAGAGCTATGGCCAAGCTTTTTCTCTAAATTTCTTATCTTATTAGGATCTACTAATCTTGATTTAGCTAAGTTTTATGTTCTGTTATTCTAACCAATCCAGGTCGACTACTTCGACCTATGTACTTGACCTCGCAATCATTGCAAGGGATTTGGTAAACCAGATTATTTTGCTTAATTGCATTGATAGGATCTTTTAACTTACAAAGCTTGGTTGTAAGCGAGTTTATTGTTTTGAATGTCAAACACTTTAATCCCAGGCAGTCGTATTAAGAAATCTTCGTAATGCTTTTGAGGTGTCTTCCGTGTATGGTAACACAATGGAGGCTTTGAATTCTCGCTTAACCCTGTGTCACCATTATTACTATTAGTAGTGGGATTATTATTAATGCTACCTGCATTATTATTATTATTATTATTATTATTATTATTATTACCACTACTACTACCAATACTAATACTAATACTACTACTGGTAATATTTTTCTTTCGCATTCTCATAATTTATTTATAAATTGAGGTGGGTAATTATTGAGACGTCGGGTATTCTTGATGTGCCTAATTCCTTGTCGTAGATTTTCACGTCTTCTAGTAAGTTTTTCTGCCCTATCGCTTAGGCATTTAACTAAGCCTACTTTAACTGAAATAGGGTCAGATGATTTGAGGTCTAAGTAGCGATTCAAATGGGTGGGTTTCTTATAGACATTAGTCTCCGAACTTCTATTTTGTGTTCGTTTACTGTTGCAATCCAACACTGCTAGCTTACCTTCTTCACTTTCTAAGTCACAGATAAATTGGATTGCATTCACTACTGAATTTATATGTACCAAGAACCTGTTGATGTGTTCCGATTTCAGTACTGTAAGCGTATTATCTACATATCGGAACCATATATTTGGAGTAGGACTAAATGTTTGAAGGATCATCTGTTCCCAACT